TATCTATCTATCTATCTATCTATCTATCTATCTATCTATCTATCTAAGCAAAATACCACTCACACATCATCACAAAATCTCCAGAACTGTAACCACAAAGCCTACAAACTTGACATTTGGCACGTGAGTTCCTCTTGGCTTTTAGGTGCTTGCTAAGAAAGGATTTTTCGAAATGACCATCAGAGCATTAGTATTTTGTTTTTGTTTTTTAAATTATTAACACGCTCTGATGCTAAGGAGTTCTACTCCCCCTCCCCACCTGAAAAGAAATCTGTTCCAAATGCAAAATACAAGCAAAGGAGAGGAGTTCCAGTTCCAGTTTTACTTTCACAGCACCAAGCAGCTTTAGTACAGAACAAGTTGAGCTAAGCCACACCCAGGCTCCTTGCTGTCTCCTTGCTCACACAGCAAATACTGTTTCACTTTCCAAACAGCCCTCACCTCTCTCACACTCTGACAGGATGCCAGCCAGATGAATATCAATGGATGCTGGTAGGCAGAGGCGCAATCCCCCCCCCTTATTTTCCTTCCCAAAAACTAAGCCCGACCACATAGTTTCATAATGAAGCACATTTATCGAGCTAGTATACATATATTCTACGCTTATATAAATGGCAACACACATTCTCTTCTATTGATAGGTGTGGTTTTTTTGGAGGCTGTGGCTCTCATTCCCATGCATTAGGCAGGCAGCCCCTTCCCCTTCCGGCAGGCAGCCCCTCGTTTAAAACTTTTCTTCCTCTCCCTGGGAGGCAAACGCCGAGCCTCCCTGGTTGCAAAAGCTGAGTGGCTGGCCGTCCTTTGGTTCTGGATTGGCTGGTTTTAGGTGCCTCTTTTCAACGTATAACGATCCTCCTGAAGAGGGAGGTGAAAGATGAATATGTTTACATCAACGAATAAGTGCCAGATCTCTGGCAGTTCAGAGACAGGGAACACATGAGTGCTTGTGCACATCAGGACATCAGAAAATGCTTCCCCGGGCCTGGCACTGCTCCAGTGGTTTCCAAGAGGGCCTTAACTTTTTACCTTCCCTTCTTTTCTACTCTCCGTCTCGTCCAGGTGAAGGTCTGGTTTCAAAACAGAAGGACCAAATACAAAAGGCAGAAACTGGAAGAAGAAGGTCCCGAATCCGATCAAAAGAAAAAGGGATCCCACCACATCAACCGATGGCGGATCGCCACCAAGCAGTCCAACACGGAGGACATTGATGTCACGTCCAACGACTAGCGAGAGGCGGGAGGAGGTGGCCCGAAAAGGACCCAATGGAGATCCAGCTGCTCTCCTCTCCACCAGGGGTGCCCCCTTCATGGGGAATCTGGGGAGGGGGGGGGAACCTAAGGATGATCTAGGAAGTCATTTCTCTCCTGGAATCCTGCCAGTTGCCTAGTTGCCATGGGGCAGACTGGGGAACGTGGGATATGCCCAGCCCAGCCCAGTGTGGAGGGACGAAGCCACCAGGGACGAGGTGAAGCTCTTTGCCAGCCGCGGGAACAAATCCATCCAGCCACCAAGCCCTCCACCGTAACTCCATCCTCTCGTCTTTGTTGCACTTTGGTGGGATCATTTTTTTAATCAACAACAACAACAACAAAAAAAGAATGCATTTTTATTTTAATTTATTATTTCGTGTCTCTGCATTTTGCTGGGCCCTGTGTACATAACTCTGATGTCATAGATAGCGAGCAGCTGTAGTGTGTCTTGCTGTGCCGTGAATAAAAATAACCTGGGTTGGATGTGCAAGGCCTGGTTGTAGCCGGCTTACCTGCAGAAGGGCCCCTTTACTGGACCTGGTTGTCTCCCCAGCCTTTGGCTCCGTTCCGGACAGCCGCCCGAAGTTTTAGACAGGGAGGGCCAGGAAAGCTGCCGGATTCCGATGGGAATGAGGGTGTCCTCCTGGGCCACGCCGGTGCATTCCCTTCCTGGTTCAGAGGGATGTGTTCCAGTTGTGGCCATGGCTCGTACCTCTCTCTCTTCTGTGCCCAGAAGGCCCCCAACCCCAACTGGGGTCAGGGGGTGGTGGTGGAAAGGACAAGCCAAACCACTGGCAGCTGCCTTGTTCTCTGGTTCCTGGTGTGGTCATCCGATGCCAAAGTTTGGGTCACCAAAAATCCTTTAGGCAGGAGCTGCCCTCCTGCCGGCATCTGTGGGTTGGGACTAGGGTGGTGCAGAGTCTCTACCCTCCCCCTCAACAACTGGGTGACCTCTGCCCCTTCAAAGAAGACCCCTCCCTCCCCAGGACCTGCTCCTTGAAGGAGGCTGGGGGGTGAGCAGCACCATGTGAGGCACCTGAACTGGGCGGGCAGGAGCTTCTGCAGTGGACAACCGACTCCCCTGGCCCAGGTGTGGATTGGTTCAGGAGACACCCGGAGAAGGATGAACCGGCTCTCCGGCGCAGTTCCGCCACCACGCTGCCCTGCTCTGCAAAGGGAGGAAGCGCTGGGACTTCCGCGAGAGCAGCGCGGATCTCCCTACAGGCGCTTTTCGGGGACCCGGCCGCCCCATCGGCAGCTTTCAGGCTCCCGGATGCTGCCCGCCTGGAGATGCAGCCTGGAAGGGTGCCCACTGAGTCTTCTTTGCCAGGAGGCCTGAGCCCAACGCTGCGAGAAAAGGGCAGGGGTGGGATTCTACAACTTCGCACCTATTCGCTAGAACCGGTTGTTAACATCCTAAGCAGTCCGGAGAACCGGTTGTTAGAAGAAATTCCTGGCCTAATCCTGTAAGGAAGGCAGGAAGGAAACATTCTGGTGTTGCTTACAGAAACTGCCCCTCTGTTAACCCTTATTACGTTCTTGGCAGGACTGGACTTCCTGTCTCAGGAACTTCTCTGGAGTTTTTTTCCCTCCTTTGCTGGTACTTTGCTTGTGTGGAGTGACCATTCAAAGTTACAATGGCACTGAAAAAAGTGACTTATGACCGTTTTCCACACTTACGACTGTTGCAGCATCCCCACAGTCATGAGAGGCCAGGCGAGGAGATGCGTGCCTCGATGTGAGTGATATTGAGTTGGCCACACCCAGCCAATAACATGACCACTGAGCCACGCCCACCAACTAAGCCACGACCACAGAACCGGTGAATCCCACCCCTGGAAAAGGAGTGCGGCACCCTCCCTTTGAGCCCCCCCCCCACACCCCGGGATAGGACGAAGGAAGAGGGAGGCCTCCCTACCAGTCCTGAGATGGATCTGTGGGAGCAGGACAAGAGGTGGGGGGAGGGGCGAAGAGGGTGACCCCTTGTGGGCCCCAGATGTAGAAACAAGATTGGGGGGAGGCAGAGGGGGGGAGATGGTGGCAGCTCTGCCCATAAATAAAGGAGCCTCCTGGGGCCCAGGTGACATCTGGTAACCTGTCATCCTCGGGGAAGAGGGCCTGAGGTGGGGGATACTACCTCACCTAGGTGCTGGTGGCTGTGTCTTACCTGGCTTCCTCTGAGGTGTGGGGTTGACAGATGGGCCTTGTTGCTGGAGGTCCGAAGGGGCTTCCATATGGCATCTCCTCTAAGGCAGGAGTCTCCAACCTTGGCAACTTTTAAGACTTGCGGACTTCCAACTTCTGGGAGTTGAAGTCAGGGGTGTTATCCAGCAGTTTCTGACCCGTTTTGGAGAACCAGTAGCAGAAATTTTGGGTAGTCCGGAGAACCAGCCAATCCCACCTCTGACTGGAGATTTTACAGTATCCTTCCCCTGCCACGCTCACTAAGTCACGCCCACAGAACCACTAGTAAAAACAAAATTGAATCCCACCACTGGTTGAAGTCAACAAGTCTTAAAGTAGCCAAGGTTGGAGACCCCCTGCTCTAAGGCACCTGGGATTCAAGGTGCCAGGCAACTAGCGTCCATGCTCCAACCTTTTTCTTTGGGGCAGCAGCTACAAAACACCTAGAAGAATCAGAGTTCGGCTGTTTCCATTCAAGATGCCTTCAGGACATGGGACGGATATCATGTGGTCACCCTAATCAATTACAGCATACCCCAAGTTGGAAGAGACCTTGGAAGTCTTGGACCAAGCCCCTGCCTAAGCAGGAGACCCTACCCCATTCCCAACAAATGGCTGTCCAGTCTCTTCTTACAAAGCCTCCAGGGATGGAGCAGCCACAAGTTCTGGTGGCAAGCCGTTCCACCGGTTAATAGTTCTCCCTGTTGGGAAATTTCTCCTTGGTTCCAGGTTGCCTCGCTCCTGGGTTAGTTTCCATCCGTTGTTTGTTGTCCTGCCTTCTGGTGCTTTGGACCAGGGGTCGGCAACCTTTTGGACCTCAGGGAACACCAAACTCCTAATTTTAGATCCCAGGGACCGCTAACTGGTTCTGTGGGCGTGGCTTACTTTGTGGGTGTCGCTTGGTGGTCATGTGACTGGCTGGGCATGGCTTGTATGTAAATATTATAAATATTGATATATTGAATTTTTTTATTTAAAAAAAAGAGCAACTTTTACCCAAAATCAGGCAAAGCAGGCAGGCAGATTGAGTTGCTCACAGAATCACAGATTCATTCAGAAATCTATCTATCTGCCATTGGCTAGCTCAGTCTGTCACACAAAATTTGCTTGCGAGCAAACTCATAAAATTTGCTAGCAAGCAAACTCACAAAATTAACTCACAACGCACCATGTATGTAAATATTGATTTTTTTTATTAAAAAAGCAACTTTTATCCAAAATCAGGCAAAGCAGGCAGATTGAGTTGCTCACAGAATCATTGAGCGATCTATCTATCTGCCATCGGCTAGCTCAGTCTCTCAAATTTGCTTGCCGTGAGTCTGCACTGAATTTGCTTGCAAACAAACTTTCAGTCCTAAGGGAGGTTCGGCTGTGCTTAAAAGCAGAGCCGAAGATCTAAAGACTAGCTAGAAAGCAAGAAATCCAACCATTTCCTGCTTCCTAGCTAATCTAAATCTCCCGGCACAGCAGAACAGATGATGGTCAGAAAAAAGGAAAAATAGCAACTTAGCAGACAAGTTTGCTGGGTAAGGAGTGAGTGGGCGAGGAGGGTTCTCGCGGGCCGTGTGGGCGGCACAGCCTTGTGTTTCTGCGCAGCCTGGATTAATTGCTTTGCTGGCCGCAGAGAAATCTCTGGGGAGTGAGATTTCTCTGTGGCCCACCAAAATTTTCTCATGGCCCACCAGTGGGCCGCAGCCCACCGGTGGCGACTACTGCTTTGGTCTTTTACCTTTACTTGAATCAGGGCTTATGTAAGGGATTGCAACCTTACCTGTCCAGGTGGTTCTTCCAATGGCCGGTTCTCCCAATGGCGCTGTGAATTCCTCCTGAGGGTTTACTTCCAAAGGTTGGCTGCACCTCAACACGGGCTGTTAGAGGTCTTAATCTTTTCCTCCATCTTATTTAACCACTGTAGGAAACCACTAGGAAGCTCATCAAGGTCAGCCTGCTTTACATCCTGCTCCCCAATTTAATGGCAGTATCTAGGTGGAAAAGATGGAGGAGCCAATAAAGAAGGCAAGACATTGTGGAAGAGAACATTAGCTCTGCTTATTCTGCTCTCCCAGAAGGAGCGGGTCTAGAGCAGCGGTCGCTAACCTTTTTGGGCTCCTGTGCCGAAAACTGCATGCATGCAGGGCCGTCCATGCGCATGTGTGAACGATATCTCCCGCCACCCCCTTACCTGCACTGCATAGGCGTGCGCCTCCCAGTTGATTTTCAGCCACCCAGAGGCTTCCCTCGAGCCTCTGGGAGGCCGAAAATAAAACTGGGAGGCACACGCATGTGCAGTGCAGGTAAGTTTGGCTGGGGCTTGCGTGCCCGCACAAATGGCTCTGCATGCCACCTGTGGCACACATGCCGTAGGTTCACCATCACGGCCCTAGAGCAAGACTCATGCCCCTGTGCATTGACTAGACTACTGCAATTCATTTTATACTGCACTACCCTTGGAGACCACCGAGAACCTTCGGCTGGTACGACCGGTAGCTGCCCAGGTGCTAACAGGACATCACCAGGCTGTCATGACAGCAGCGCCAGTCTGCTTCTGGGTGCAAGAAGGGCGTGGATGATGGCTAGGAACCAACCATAGTATCTGGCCAGCTACCCAAGGCCCACAGGGCCCCCACTTCCTGCCAGGGACAGCAGGAGAGGACTCCACAGTGGGCCTCCCTTCCTGAATTCAGCCCCTTTGGGAGAGGCTTTGCTCCACAGTTTAAGGTGGGCCTGCAGAGATGTGGCTGCTTTTGCAAGATTTGGGGGTGGAAGACGGAAGCATCTCGCCCCTTGAATATA